ACTAATTGACAGTCGAGACAATAGTGTCTGGCGTGATGAAAATCTGATGCAATAACAGTAATTAATTACTTTTACAATCTTCCAACATCTGTTTCTGTTTTCAATACCAAAATGATAGATAACTCTTAAAAATGAAATGCATATCCACATCTTTCTATCTCAATACTTTCTTAAACTAATGTAATTAATTTTTGTTCAAGTAATTAAATAAATAAAAAAAATGAATTATCCTTCCTCCATAAACTCTTGTGCAAATTAATTGAAACAAAACGAATAATTCTATTTAATTTACTTTTTTTATATTTTCCAATGAAACATGACCCAGTTCCCATGTTAGTACTTCGTATGTCCATTCCACGAAGTCGTTCCTTGCAGATTGACAACAGATTCTCGATTGGATTTAAATCAGGAGAGTTTCCGGGCCAGTCTATAGTACTTTGATTTGCTCAATGATAAGGTTTGTCAGTGTGTTCGTGCAGCGTTACTTTTTTTCGTACGCTTCCTTGGAGTAACGTCCATCGCAGACAATCGCCGTAGGACACCTAATCGACAGTTGAGACAGTAGTGTCTGGGCGTGATAAAAATCTGATGCAATCATGGATGACGGCAATATTTTACAACGTCAAGCAAATTTCATCATATACCCCGAAAATAGATGCATATTACTGTACACCACTGCAAATGCCCTAATCTGAGGAAAAATAGAAATTGATTACACCCTGTCACTCAAGTGGGTCTAAAACTGATCGTATGTTGAAAGAAAGGAAACAAAAGCGGTTGTTTTAATTAATTTGCACAAGGGTGTGTATACGGGAACACTGGGGGGGCTCTGGAGGGAGGCATTAGTTTTGTTGTCTGCAAGCTGCAGCATCGGGGGGACGGGCACTCACTGGACCTCATCAATTTAAATCGCTTGATGGTTCCAAGTTGCCATGCATCGGTAAACCGTAAGAAGGGTGGCGTTAACACGGCACCAGTGGGCGAAGGACCTATTTGACGCAGCTCACCGGTCAGCTGTGGAAATGTTTCCTCAGATGAACTACAAGGGGCCGACACTATTTTTGGGACACTTTGAAAAGTGTGCTTTATTTTTACTTCAACTTAGGCGACACTATTTTTCGGACATGACACAAATTTCGAGTTTTTTTAATTATTTAGTCGTCGAACGTCTACAATATGCACATTTTCTGCAGGTAAATTGTACCCTGACCATTACATTTGAATATCGTTACCATTCACTGCGAAAAACGTATTAAAATCCTGAAGAAGAATGCATTCAAAAGAAGTCATCAGTTTGGTCCAAAAGAAGAGAGAAGACGGGCTCAGTATCCGAAAGATCGCCGCTGAGATGAAGCTACCGAAGTCAACAGTTGAATACATGCTAAGTACAGACTATGAGCGGAAGAAGAAGAGAGGACGGAAAAAAAACAATTTCCAAGAGAACAAAAAGAAGAATGAAGAGGAGTGTTACGAGGTTGTTATCATCTGGAGAAAAGGTGACAGCGAAGAAAGTAAAGGAGAAGTGTGAACTTGACGTCAATGTTCGAACTGTACAAAGAAAGCTACACGGAATTGGACTTAAGTATGCTAAAATCAAGAAAAGAATTACACTCTTGAGAAAACACAAGGAGGCAAGGCTAGGAAGCGCCAAAAAATGGATAACAAACCATGTCGACTTCAAGAAAGTGATATTTACTGATGAAAAACGTTTTAACTTCGATGGACCTGACGGGTGGTGTACATGGTCGAGAAAAGGTGACCCTGTTATTCTCAACAAGTGACAGATGGGAGGAGGAGGAGTCATGGTTTTGGGGTATGGTATTTCCGAATAGAAACTTGTGGCTCGAGTGGTTAAAAGGACGTCAAAATAGCTTGAGCTACAAAGAACTTTTGGAAAAGAGAGCCCTACCACTCATAGAAAAAGAAATGGGAAGTAATTTTATTTTGCAGCAAGATAACTGCAGCATCTATGTGGCCAAATTAATGAAAAATTCGATGTGTGAAACAAATATAACTACGCTGGAATGGCCTGCAAGAAGTCCAGACTTAAATTTAATTGAAAACATATGAGAAATGCTAGCAGATCTTGTTTACGACGGGCCAGAAATAACCAGTGAGGCTGAACTGTGGCAGCGCATATAAGATGTTAAAAATAGACTGCTAGAAACACGAAGAGACGTTATTATCAATATGTACGAACATTATGAAGATAAACTGATAGAAGTCATTGAAAAAAAGGGTGCTGCCATAAACTATTAGCATTGTTTCTGCAATGTCCGAAAAATACTGTCGCCTGTGTAATGTGAAAATTTGTAAAAAAATAAAAATACTTCTAATTTGAATTCTGCTTTTCCATTTGTACTATTGAAACAGTTTTTAAATGTTATTGCCATTACGGTAAAACAGTACAGATTGCCTGTGCTACCTAAAAGTTGAAAAAATAAAATGTCTGAAAAATAGTGTCGCCCCCCACCCCTGTACAACGGCTAGGCATTCGCGGCCATGTCGAGCTACCAAGTTGGAGGACATTGGCTTCGGTCAAACCTGGAGAGGGATGGACTCCGCCAGGTTTAAACGTTCAAAACATGTCACATGATCAGCATACAAAAAAAAAAAAAACAACAACAAAAAAAAATATATCGGATTGGTAGCACACTTTTTTTTTCTCCAAAAATCAAGCTAAAACGTATCTTTCCCCTCAACACATATATTTAAAATATTTTTGTTTTTGCCAGTAGCATTTACAGCACGACTAGTAACTTTCAATTTTTTTCCGAAAAGACTCTTGTTTTATGCCACGTTGCACATTATTTCTTGGACTTATTCGTGGTAAAATTACATTATCTGCTTTCACGGAATTTTTTATGGGCGTCCAGCCTTTTTTGGCTCCTGACTGCCACTCAATTCATTGGTTTTTGCATTGTCATTCATGGTTGCCATACACGACGGTGACAGATGGATGAGACTGGTGGACAGCTGAACAAGATGGCGCCGCAAAGCCTCCGACAGGGTTAAGGTCGAAAGAAGAAGAAGAAGAAGAAGAAGAAGAAGAAGAAGAAGAAGAAGAAGAAATAGAGAAAGAAGAAAAAATAGTGAAGGAAGAACAAGAAACAGAGAAAAAAGATGAAATATAGAAATAAGAGGAAATAGAGAAAGACTAGAAGGAAACGAAGAAATAGAAAACGAAAAAAGAAATAAAGAATGAAAAAAAAAAAAAAAAAAGAAGAAGAAAAAGGACGAAATAGAGAAATAAGATATAGAAAAGAAAGAGGAAGACGAAGAAAAGAAGACAAAGAAAAAAAATAAAGAAAGAAAAGAATGAAGAAAAGGAAGAAGAAGAGAGAAAAAGAAGAAGGAAAAAGAAGAGGATGGAAGAAGAAGAAGAAAAAGAAGAAGAAGAAGAAAGAAGAAAGAAGAAAATGGAGGAGGAAGAGGAAGAAGAAATAGAAAAAAGAAAAAAAGAAGAAGACAACGAAAGAAGAAGAAGAAGAAGATAGAGAAAGAAAAAAGGAAGAAACAGAGAAAGAAGAAGAAGAAATAGAAGGAAAAAAGAAAAAGAAAGAAGAATTAGAAAGCAAGAGGAAAAAACAGAATGACAAGGAATAAATAAAGAAAAAAGGAGAAGAAAAAAGAAGAAGAAGGAAGAATGAAAAATGAAAGGAAGGAAAAAGATGAGGAAGAAGAAGAAGGAAAAGGGAAGAAGAAGAAGAAATAGAGAAGGAAAGGAATAAGATAAAGGAAGAAGGAAGTATATAGGGGAAAAGACGAAGAAGAAATAGTTGAGAAGGAAAAGGAGGAGAAGGAGGGAAGAAAGAGAAAGAAAAAAAGAAAAAAAGAAGAAGAAGAAAAGAAAAGACAAAGAAGAAAAATAAAGAAGAAGAGGAAGAAGAAAAAAAGAAGAAATGGAAAAAGAAGAAAGAAGAAGAAGAAATAGAGAAGGAAAAGGAAGAAGAAATAGAGAAAGAAGAATTAGAGAAGCAAGAGGAAAAAGAAGAAATTGAGTAAGAAGAATAAATAAAGAAAAAGAAGGAGAAGAAAAAAACAGAATGAAGAAAAAAGAAGAAGCAAGAGGAAGAAAAGATGAAGGAAGGAAGGTAAAAATAAAAAATGAAAGAAGAAAAGGAAAGAAGAAGAAGGTGGAAGAAGAAGAAAGAGAGAAAGGAGAAGAAAAATAGAGAAAGAAGTAGAAATAGAGAAGGGAGAAGAAGAAAAAAATAGATAAAGAAGAAGATGAAGAAGAAATAGAGAAAGAAGAAGAAAAAGAAGACGAAAAACAGAACGAAGAGGACGGAGGAGAAAGAAGCAAAAGAAAAAGAAGAACGAAAAAAAACACAGAAATGGTGAAAGAGAGGATGAAGAAAATAGTTGAGAAAGAAAAAGAAAAAAAAAGATGAAATATAGAAAGGAATAGAAAAAAAAGAAGAAGAAAAACGAAAAAGAAAAAGAAGCAAAAAAGGGAAGAAGAAGAAGAAGAAGAAGAAGAAAAATAGAGAAAAGAAGACAAAGAAATGGAATAAAAAAAAGAAGAAGGAAGAAATAGAAAAGAAGAAAGAAAGAAAGGAAGAAGACGAAGAAGGAAGAAGAAGAAGAAGAAGAAAAGAAGAAAGAAGAAGATATAGAAAAAAAAAAAAAGAAGCGAAAAAGAAAGAGAAAAGAAGGAACAGAGAATGACTAAATAAATGAGGAAATAGAATGAGGAGGAGAAGAAAAGAAGAAGAAGAAGAAGAAAGAAACAAGAGAAAAGATGAAGAAGAAATGGAAAAAGAAGAAGGAGAAAGAAGAGAAAGAAAGAAAATGAGAAGACGAGGAAGAGGGAAGAAGAGAAAAGAAGAAGAAGAAAAAGAAGAATATAGAGAAGGAAAAAGAAGAAAGAAAGAGAAAGAAGGAAAAAAGAGAACGATGAGGAAGAAGATTAGGAGGAGGAGGAAAAAGAAGAAAGGAGAAGAAGAATAAATAAAGAAATAGAGAAAGAAAAAAAAAAATGAAGAAAAGAAGAAGAATCAATATGAGAAGCAAGAAAGGAAAAAGAAGAAATAGAAGAAGAAAGAAAAGAAAGAAAAAAAGAAGAAGAAGGAAATAAAAAATAAAGAATGAAGAGAAGAAGAAAAGGGGGAAAGAAGAAGAAGCAAGAAAGAAAAAGAAAGAAAGAAATGAAAGATAAAAAAAGAAAAAAGGTAATAGAGGGAAGGGAGAAAGACAAAGAAAAGAGAAGGAAGAGGATTAAGAAAATATAGAAAGAAAAATAGGAAAAAGAAGAAGAAAAATAGAAAAAGAAAAAAGAAGAAGGATGATAGAAGGAAAAGAAGAAGATAAGAAGAAAAAAGGAAAGAAAAGAAGAAGAAGAAAAGAAAAGAAAGAAAGAAAGAAAAGAAAGAAAGAAAAAAAAAAAAGAAAAGGTATAAAGATGAGGGATCAATAAAGAGGAAGAAAAGAAAGACGAAGAAAAGAAATATAGAAAGAAGAAGAAGAAAAGAAGAAAGGAAAAGAAAAGAAAGAAAGAAAGAAAGAAAGAAAAAAAGAAAAAAGAAAAGGTAGTAGATGAGGGAGAAGAAGAAATAGAGACGGAAGAGGATTAAGAAATATAGAAAGAAAAATAGGAAAAGAAGAAAAAATAGATAAAGAAGAAGATGATATAAGGAAAAGAAGAAGATGAAGAAGAAAGAAAGAAAGAAAGAAAAGAAAAGAAGACGAAAAAAGAACGAAGAGGAGATGAGGAGAAAGAAATAGAGAAAGAGGAAAGAAATATAGAAAGAAAAATAGAAAGGAAGAAAAAAAAATAGAAATGAAGAAGATGAAGAAGGAAAAAGAAGAAAGAAAGAAGACGAAAAACAGAAAAAACGGAAGAAATTGAGAAAGAGAGAAAGAAGAAGGAAAAGAGAAGAAAGAAAGGAAGAAGAAGAAGAAAGAAAAAAAGCAAGAGAAAAGAAAAGAAGAAAGGAAGAAGAAGAAGAAAAAGAAAGAAAAAAAAGAAGAAAAGACAAAAAGAAGAAGAAAGTAAAAGAAATCGATGAAGAAGATGGAAGAGAGAACGCGGAAGAAAATATAGAAAAAGAAGAAATAGTGAAAGACGAAGAAATAGAGCAAGAAAAAGAAGAAAGAGAGGAAAAAGAAGAAGAGGAAAAAGAGAAGAAAATGAAATAGAGACAGAAGAAAAATAGAGAAAGAAGAAGAAATAGTGAAAGAAGAAGAAGAAGAAAAAGAAGAAGAAGAAAAAAAACGCAGCAGCAGCAGCAGCTACCCATCTTCGATGACTCGCGTCTATTAGGGCGGCTATTACATTCGCTTGCTCAGGCGCCTTTTTTTGAGTTGGTTCAAATGTGGCTTACACTGCAACTATTCTGAGCAGACCTTAGTTACAGTCTCTGGGAGAGAAGCATGTTTTCTAGCGTTATCAGCAATTTGAACAAGGCCAGCCCGCTGACACCCTCGGTCACGATGACAAGGGTTCCGTCCAACTATTTTCAATCACAAGGCTTGGCTCAGGCACTTTCTAAAGGAGCCGTACGCGGGGACCACCTTCTCCAGACAGTTACCTTTACTCTTTATTTATAACGCTTTAAAAATAAATAAATAAATACGCAACGTGAAATGTAATAGAAAAGGAAGAGAAAAGCAAGGGTATTGAAAATGTATCGAAGAGGGGGTTATATGAAATCTATCTACTTTCATCCTGGTTCATACGAACACAAAGGGAAATGTTTAGTGTGTAAGCATCGTGTCATTATTTCTGAACTTTGCTTTTTTTTCTGGTCTGGAAATGTTATTGATAACTTTTCTTATTGGCAAAGATTGCAGATATCACTGATTGTTGTAAGGTTTCGCTTTTTTAAAAAAAAAATTCTTCCCAGTTTACAATCAGATCTTTGTTATTTTTTTGTTTTAATTTCCACATATGCCTGGCTTTTCTGGTAGAATTCCTAAGACTTTCTAGCTTGAATGTTGACTTGTGATTATACCATCTCTTCAGTACAAATATATATATATATATATATTTATTTGGAAAAATTCATTTATATATACTTTTAAATATATACTTTGTAAAATTTATATATATATATATATATATATATATATATATATATATATATATATATATATATATAGTGATGTGTGTAATTTAAAAAATATATAACAAAAGATAGAAATATCCAAATCAAAATATAAATATATATATATATAAAAGGCAAGTGATAGTAGTAATTAAAAAATTTAAAAAACAAATTGTAGAAATATCCAAATCAAATATATATATATATATATATATATATATATATATATATTTATATATATATATATATATATATATATATATATATATTTATTTTATTAAAGACATTTTTATGTTTAACGTTCTTTTTTTATAGATACAAGTATTTAAGTAAATGCTCTGTTTATAATAAACAGTATTAAATAACGTTTAATTGCCTGAATATTATAAACAGAGGATTCACTTAAATATTTATCTATAAAGAACGTTAAACATAAAATGTCTTTAATAAAATAAATTGTCGGACTTGTCCATTTCTTTTATATATATCTTATATATATATATATATATATATATATATATATATATAATGGACAGTCCGACAATTATTTTAAGACATTTTTTATGTTTATACGTTCTTTTTATAGATAGAAATATTTAAGTAAATGCTCTGTTTATAATAAACTGTATTAATAACATTTACCGGCCTGAATGTCCGAGAAATTTTCACAGAAAATATACGTCCTCCGACAGGAATCGAACCTGTATCCTATACGGAACCGTCATATAGCCTGACGTGCTTTACCAGTTTATCCACAAAGGATCGTTTCGGTTAGCAAGGTCGATTTTTACTGTTTTTAAACTACAATTCTCCATGATTTTCTCTCGTACATTCATATCTGCTTGATACGTATCCAAATGTAAACAGATGACGTCACACATTATGAAATGGACAAAGTCCGACAATTATTTTAAGACACTTTTTTATGTTCATATAGATCATACTGTTTATTATGAACACACACACACACACACACACACACACACATATATATATATATATATATATTGGGTGTTCGTTGTTGAGTGCTTAGAAATAGGCTTTCTGACACATGTTTGATTTGTTATGAAGGTAATTTGTTGAAGATATTGGTCTGATGCGATCCTAACTTTCGGCACCATTGGAAGTGCCTGAAAACCAAGACAAATATTGACACAAGTCTTGTGAATGAAATTGGGTAGAAAAAAAAAATCCGTCTATGTAAGTATTAGCATAAAGTTTCAAGTCATCGTGACTGAGTGTTTGAGCATACTGGCGTTATTCAAACTAGTGATTATGATTATTTTCCTCTCTCACCATAAACAATAACTAGGATCCGTTCAGCCTAGTTAGAGTATGAAACACAGGTGAGCTCGGGTGGCTGTTGATCAAAGACAAATACAAATGTACCCGAGCAGGTGTCTGCAACGAGGATTGGTTATCCGCCCTAGCAGAAGTGTGGACTCGGAAAATGCTAGCCACTATATATATATATATATATATATATATATATATATATATATATATATGAGGTAACCAAAAAAAGTTCTGTCCGTTTTTAAAGGAAAAAAGAAAACGCTTCACAGTATGTGTAACTTATACTTAGTCTTCGAAGTAATCGCCATCAGCATCCAGCACCTTCTGCCAACGTGTCTCCAGCTGTTCAATGCCCTTGCGGTAGAACTCGGGGTGTTTTGACGCAAAGAAATCCGTGAGGGCTTTGCGCAAGTCTGCATCATTGGTGAAGGATTTCCCACGAAGATGATTATCCAGGGAGTGGAAGAGGTGGTAATCGCATGGCGCAAAGTCAGGTGAATAAGGTGGATGGCACAAAGTCTCCCACCGAAGTTGCTGTATGGTATCCCTGACCACTCGCGTGACATGCGGCCTGGCTTTGTCATGGAAGAAATGCACACCTTTGCGATTCACCAGTGCTGGCTCCTTCTGGCGCAATGCCTGTTGCACACGTTTCAATTGCTGCGAGTATAGGTCTCCAGTGACCGTTTGGCTCGTTGGTAGCAGTTCATAATGAACCACTTGACGACCTGTCCACCAGACACAAAGCATAATCTTGCGTGGTTGCATAGGCAGTCTTGAGGTCCTGAGGAGACAACCAATGTCTGGAACGCCTGGAAGTTTCGTACAGAACCCACTTTTCATCACTGTTAATCACTCGATTGAATAAGGATGCGGTACGGTGACGAGAAATCAGCGAGACGCAGGCTGCCACTCGTTGGCCCTTGTGGACCTCCAACAGCGTTTGCGGAACCCACTTGCTCAGTTTGTACGTCTTACCTAGGCGGTGCAGGTGAAGTCTAACTGTTTCATCGGAAACGTTCAACTGTCTTGCAAGTTCACCACACGTTAGACTACTGTCCTCTTCAATGGCTGCCTTCAGGACTCCATCATTCAAAACCTGTGGTCGTCCACTGCGAGGCTCATCATGGAGAGACAAATCTCCCGACTTGAATTTTCGAAACCAACGCCTTGCAGTACGTTCATCCCCAGCACTATCCCCAAACGCTTGACATATGTGGCGACTTGATGCAGCTGCTGATAAGCCCACTTTGAAGTCGTAAAGCAAACAACCCCGAACGAGATCTCTAGACATTTCCATCCTTCTCACAGCTGTCCGGCTTATAACTGATGGCCGGGCACGGTGCGTGTGTTTCTTATAACGTCTGTTGTTCCTACTTCCGGCTGTCCGAATTTGAAAACAATTGCTACACGCATTTCGTATATATTTCAACTTCATTCAATGACTAATCAAAAAACGGACAGGACTTTTTTTTTATTTTGTATATATATATATATATATATATATATATATATATATATATATATATATATAATAGACAACAACCTTTTAAAAACAACTTTCATTAAATACGGTAAACAATGAAGATTTCATTAATTTTTTTTATATAATTTTTTCTGCATACTTACATTTTTCTCGTTTTCTTAGTGAAAAGGAGTATAGAAAATTTCCATAATTTTCATTGTCCCAAGCAATTACGACCACTTCTTTTCAACGGGGTTTTGTCTTTTGTGTTGTTAGTTTTTTTTTCTTTTCTATTAAATATTAACGGAATATTGTAATCACTCAGTTAACTGACACACGTAATACACGTATGGCCGATCATATAGATTTCGATAAATGACTGACGAGGCAGAATATTTTTCCAGCAGTAGGTTGCTATTTCTTTCTGCGGACTTGTCAACCAAAATGCTATTTAACCCATTGCTTGAGGTAGAAGAGATGGATTCATACCTTCCCCAAGGAAATGTATGCGTAAGTGAATGTAACGGACTTCAATGGAATTTGAACTCGGCTCTCCAAGTTCTCGATAATCATTACACGTACGTTCAATAAATATGAATACAGGTCACTATTTAAAGAAGTGCAAATGTAGGAAAATATTCAAAATTTCAATTTCACTAAAGCAGACGTTACAGACATGAAAACCTTATCGTTTGATTTCTTTCTTTTAAAGAAGTAAAAGTTTTTCTTTTTCTGACTTAGTCTGGATCTAAACGGAACAGTCCATTATTTACGAGGTATTGGAAGGGTCTTTCTTTCTTTCTTTCTTTCTTTCCCTGAAACTAAACAGTGTCTCTGTTATGTTTTTCCTCGCGATCAAAACTGAATATTCTATTATTTATGCGATATTGAAAAGGGTGTTTCTTTTTTTCTTTCTTTCTTTGTCGCGCTGAAGCTTAAAAAAAATTTATTTTCTGTCTTCTCTCGCTATCGGAACAGACCTGTGTTTCTGAGGCATTTGGCAAGGCGTAACGTCCGTGCTAACTAGCTAAGGAACCAGCAGACTATTACATAATAATAAAAATATATTGGAGTCATAGACAATCCCAAAGCTTATAAGTAAAGGTCTGTGAAAAAAAAATCATTTGATACACTGTCAATAATTATAATATCAATTAGATCGTTATGTAAAAAGCTTTGAAGGGAATGTTTGTAATAACGTAAAATACTTTTGAGGTATCATTATCTAACAATAATTACAATATGAATTGTATTGACATTAAGTAAGCTTTGGAATGAAGGTCTGTAAAAACGGAAAATAGTTTCGATTTGGTGCCATAATAGATTAGGCGACTTGCCATCAAACTGTGGTCAACAAGTCAATTTATTGATCTTTGTGCCTTAATACGTAACGCTTATTAATTAGAAAAGAAAAGTGAAAGAAACAAAAAAA